TATTGCAAATCTCATAATTTAACCAAAAATCAAAATGAGACCTTTTAAATGTGTTTTAATGTATTGTATTTATGTGTATTATTATTTGTAGATCTCTGCATATTGTCTTGTGACTATTAATAAGTTATAAGTAACTCAAAAAATAAAATAGAACAGTTTTTTGCTGGTATATAGTTTATTCAACCCCTTGTCTGTTCCACACTTTCAACATAATCAACGGCGTTCTTTGAAACGATTGGGGGAAAATAACACATAGTTGTTATAACACAAATATATGAGTAAAAACATGAGCTGTGTAAAAAATATATTTGGAAAATTTCTTATTCTCTTATCTTGGTTATCGTACAGCTCTCTTTATGCTGTCTGATGTACCCATGATCCTTAAGTAACTTAGTAGAAAGACTTAACCAGTAAGCAAAGGTCTAGCCTGTTTCTGAGTTACTGACACAGGTGTCTTGTTTGAAAGCCCTTTATCCAACCAACATATCTGCCATGTTATAAATGCTCCTGAGTGTGCTCCATGATGACACAATACAAGCAACAGAAAGCCATTTTTTTGCCCCTTAAAACTTTCTTAAGAGATTCTTGGTTAAAACAATGCATTTTTCTCCAGAATTCTTCACAAAATTGCTACTCTGTTTTATTTTGCACAGTTAGCTGCATTGGTGCCTATCAGCAGGAAGGTTCCTGGTTTGAATCCCTTCTTAGGGTTCCTCTGGGTTTGTTCCAACAGTCTATAACGATGACTGTTAGGTCAACAAGGTCTCTGAATTAATCTTAGGTATAATTGAGTTTGTGTATGGCTGTTTGTACTGTTGCCCTGTGATGGAGCGCCAATTTGACCAGAGTGAATCCTACTTTTACCCATAGACCACTAGAAAATGGCACCAGTTGCCGTTGATTTCTACAGAAGAAGCTGATGTAGAAGATGAATGGCAAAAGATTTTAACTGGAAGTGTCCCTTAAAATTACTTTACATATAGTGGAAATAATATGCTATGCTTGCTACTGGTGTGTTAATCTAGAACCAGAAGTCTAGGTAGACAACAAGTGAAAAGGGAACCAAACATATTAAATCCCTTTGTTGGTCTTTCCAGTTAAATTTGTTTAAAGCTCTCCACCTACTTGTTTTATCTTAAAGGGATTCTTTCAGCAACCCTCATTTATTTGCAGAATTTAGTTTTATTCACTGCAAGATCTGGTGTTCAGATGTCAGTCTGGTTCTCTATTCCTCTTTTTTTAGGATTAAACAGTAAGAGTTTGTCCCCACCCAGAAACCAGGCAGCAGTTTCTGTTTAAACGAGCTTCTGATCTGGTGCAAAAGTTTAACCTCTTTTCTGAGTGGACCTCCCTCTCCCTCCTCTATCTCTTCAACAGCATAGAAGCTGAGTAAACCAGCGGGCTGATCAGCATATACACCTATTGTGGTATAATGGGGAATCCCTCCTATCTCCTTTCCATGCCCATTGTGCCAGACTTGATAGCAGGAGCCGCTCCATTCCAGCCCCCAGGATTCCTCGTTTTCTCCGAGACCACAGGGCCCCTCGCTGTTTCTCCTTCCGGATCTTTCAAATGCTACTCCGATCACAACCCATCCAGAGAATTGTACCTCCCAGTAGCCTCGGAAACCAAGGATGCCTTCTTTGCAAAGAACCTGTTAGAAAACAAGCAAGGATATAGGTGATACTTTTCAGGAAATATCATTAACAGACCAAACCAGTAACAGCACCCATCATACTTTTATCCTACCAGTTAAATTCATGATAAATTAAATATTAGGTTTTATGATATATTTTACCTGTGGTGTGTACTCGTATCTTTCTGGTCTGTCCAATACAGGACAAGTGATGTCATCAGTCATACGGGTCACTTTAGCCCCATCTTCTGTGATCCACAGCACCTTATTGGATGTTCTGTCATCCAGAGACAGATTAATCCAGTCTGAAATAACATGATTGAACAAAAACTTAAAAAGTGGTGTTGTAAAATAAAACAAAAATTAATTATGTGTAAACCTGAGTTTGAGTTTCTAATTTAGTTGTTTAGCTAAAGCAAAAAAACTAATCTGTCAAAAATGTGTCTTGTTTGATTCATGCATATAAACTAATGCAACCATATTTAAATATTGGTGCAAGAAATTATCAGTGGAAAAATTAGGTGCTTTTATGCTGGATTAAAGTTTCACAGATGGTAAAACCCATTCCATCATCTAATGAGTGTTGTCTAATATAACTAAAGATATTTTTTATCAATTTGAATTTATGGTCGTAGTTAACTGAGTATTTTTTTTATTCTGTCAGTAAAGTGCAATTTAATATTTAAGTATGAATATAAAACATATTTTTCAATGAATCCTTTTATATCAAATGTATTCAGTTAAAGGGATACATAATTTACCATGGTTCAAATTTTGGAGTAAAACCTGTAAGATGCAGTATGGGCTAAATATGTTTCTCTTATCTTAGCAAGTTATCTGCTGTACTGGAATTAAATGTTAATCTGTAAATGTAATTGGCACAGTAATATATCAAACTGTACATTTCACTCTTTCTTAATAGTTTTGGAGATTTCACTGCTTTGTGTATAGCTCACTAAGATTTTATAAAAAGATTATCTTACGTTTGATGAGATCAGCCCGACATTTTGGTTCAGGAATATTTGGCTCATAGACAGGGATTTTTACTGTAGAGTAAAAAAAAAAATTCAGAGATAAATAGAAATAGATTTTTTTTTTTTACTTAATGCTGTCACTAATGCTGTGTATATGGTTGTTCTCACCTGCAAGCGTGTTTCCAGCTTTATTTTTCTTTCCTGCATAAACTGAAAAGTACAAACAAGAAGATTGATTCATTTGGGTCAGCCTGAACGGAGGTCAAGTTCTTCAATCCTTCAAATGCAAAATTAGGAGTCAGACATACTATGTTACAGCGAGTAATTTAAAAGAGTGTATACTTAGAAAACTTATCTGCTTCCTATGGATCAACACTTCAGCTGGGGGTGGATTTGCGTCAGGTGGCAGAGAATTCTCAGACACCTCACATGTTTTAATGGGGGGGTCATTTCATTCTCACCATGTTTAGCCCAGATTATCAGAAGTGATGCCTGATATGATTTGTTTGTACAAATCAGATAAGCTGGGTAACCTGATAGAGTGTGTGTGTGATTTTAAAAAGGACAGCTGGAAACTCTTGGAGGTTTTCCAAAAACCTCAAACCCTAAATAAGTGGAAGCTGTTGTAATTCTAGGCAAAGAATAAATCTTTCCTTTAAGTAGGTCCTTAGTTAACTACCATTAAAGTATACTGATGCTACTGTCATTATCAGTATCTCGGACTAGTACTTCTACGCGTGCATTTTCTTCGAAATTTACAGATATTAAAAGAGCACACAAATCTCTTGCTATTAAGATGTCAAAACTGGCTTAAATAAGTAATTAATTATTCTCATCAGCCAAATCACAAATTATGACCTTTAATAATCTCAGAATATTAAGTGGATCCTAGCCAGATGAAATATTAGGATTAATATTAAGAGAGCAAAAAAGCTTACACTAAACACACAACAATAAATCATTGTGAACTCAAGGTGGAATTAAACTCATTCAGTCCATGCAAACATTTCTTCCTGTCAACACTTCTAAAAAAGTTCACATGATGAGTCTAATTACACGGCACAGCGTGTGTCACATCTATCCATCAAAGGACACCTGCCTGTATATAACAAAAGGTGATGAAAATAACAGCTTTGCATGGCCTCATTACAAACTGACACCAAACTAAATACTTAAGACTAATTGTTGCCCCTGTATCAACTTTTGTAGCACTTTTTAATCTATGAGTGTTTTATTCCTAGAGCTGATACAATCACTCATGATTGTGTATATGAAGAAATATGTTATAATCCACTTTACAATACCCTGCTTCCACAAGTGCTAATATGAGGCAGAGGTGTTTTCCATGGCACTCTAGTAGTCTAAACTTTCCCAAATCTAAAGTCAGTATGACAATTAAATAGATTAAAACAACAATAAACTGTTAGAAAATAAAGCTAAATAAGAGATGTTGTGATTTAAATCCCAGTTCGATCTTAGAAAAAATGGAAGGCCCATGTGTATTTACATACTGTAATGATATTGTATATAGAACATAAATAAAAAAAATATAAGCACAAAGACTCCTCTATTGAAGCCTCGCAGTTTAATCCTTTTGTTATACTGTTTTTACAGTTGCATCATAATCTACTCTATACAGAATATTATTATCACAGAGAAAGGGTGTTAAATCTTTTTAATAGCGATGATGCTGCCACTTGTAGACCACTGCTGCCAGGCAATAAAACTGTTAAACACCCTCTCATAATGACAGGCATGAAATCGCTAATTGAATTACTATGCTTTCCAAGCAGACATAAACTCCAATGACCCATTCACTCAGGATCTGCTTCAGACATAATACACATGCTACTGCCCCAATAAACATTATACTGTAATAGATGCAGTTAATTTAAATGGTGCAAAGTTATCTAAAACTTAGCTTAGTATTTATGTAAAACGATGCAATGAAATATACTACAAATAGTTTTTTGTATCTTTTTTTATATACAGAAAGCTCACCTTTATCTGACTTTCGGGTTTCAGAGATAATTCTGTTGGTGGTCGGCATCTTAAAACAGAGGATAAACTTCTTTAAGATTCTGCAGGAGCCTGTCTTTGGTTGAGATGTAATTATTTCTCTGATGATGATGAGATGCCTTTAGAGCAGCTTACTGCTGCCCCTATATACCTCTAATACAATGCTGAGGTTAAGCTGATAAATACATAGGCATAAGCATACCTAATCTTACCAATAGGAGAAGGAAGGGTGGAGATTTGTAATTAGAGCTGTGTACTAAAGGAGTTTTTACCTTTAAATGGTTAGATGGAGGCTTCAGTTTCAATAAGACACCCTTTTTACCAAGTAACCCCTGCCTCTTTCCCTCTACTGTGTACCGCCAAAGACCTTGTCACATTGCACAGTGACAACATTGATGCATTGATGTTGGTTGGGGCCATCAGTTTGTTCAAACACACACTACATGTCTATACACACTCCTAAACACATGGATACTTTTTCAAGCAAGCTCTGTTATGTCACCGCAATGATGTATATTTTTACAGGAGGATTCCTGGAGTCACACTTGAAGCAACGTGAGTTCTAAACATTTTAACTAACTAAAGTAAAAAAGAAATCCTTCATTACTTAAATTTATTTGTGATTAAGGGTATTATAAAGTGCATGTTTGGTTTGAAGTTTAATTAATTGTAATATTATATTGACATACGTTTAGAAAACTATAAAAGCTAGTCACCTGTGAGACGTGACTAAACATGTGACATTAAATGTACACTTTAAAATATGAATCAATCCTTTTTTAAAAAAAAAAAAAAGATGTGAATATATATTTTTGTTCACAATCTCATACATGGTGATAAAATATAGCAGATAGTGTTTTGATTTAAGGTTTAAACCTTAAGCTAAATCTGCTATCACATAGACATTGTATACTGCGGTGTATTATATATAAATTAAAAAAAAAAAAAAGCAAATTTTACTTAAGCCAAAATAAATTTCAAACCTCAGTTTGACATTTAAAATGTACGACCATTTTATGTGTTGAAATGTATATGTAAATAACAGCGGTCGGCAACCCACTGCTCCAGAGCCGCACGCGGCTCTTTAATGCCCCCTTTGCGGTTCCCTGGAGCTTTTTCAAAAATGTTTGAAAATAATAAAAAAATTTTGTTTCAATATGGTGTTTAGTAGGTCAAACAAACATTCATTATGTTTTCCAATGCTGTAAAAATGTGTATAATAAATTTAAACAATAAATGTAAACAATCCTTTCAATGAAAATCAGCGCCATAGCCAAAGAGATCAGCGGCCATAGGCTGCAACACACGTTTCAGAGCGGTGCAAGGTAAACAAAGCGGCAGGTGTGTCTCGCTTCATTGATCCCAAAGGGAAAAAAAGTAAGATCGCTGATGAAAACAGAGGATTCGAAGAAGATTAGACCGAATCATCTTCTTTTAATCTCAGTGGGGAAGTATATCCTGCATTTTTGCTTTGTAATGAGAGGTTGTCAAAAGTAAACCGAGTAATTTGGAAAGGCATTTCCAGGGAAGACAGGATAAAAATGTAGTTGGGAGTGAGAGAAAAAGCGTGAGTGGAGAACTTCTGGATAAGTTACAGGAGTGCAAAGACCGATTTAGGAAGTGGATTGCATCTCCAAACTCCACTACTGCTGCTAGTTTTGTTGCAAGCATGGAAAACTGTCAGCAGATCGAACAGGTAGCACTATCATGTAGGTATGTGTTTATCCAAATAGTAAAAATAACACCAAGGAATGCTGGAGACAGAGGATTTTGGATTTCGGGGATAGAGAGCTCTGCTCTGATGGATGTCAGTTCCTTCTTGATTTCTCATGACTCAGTCAACTCCTCCCAACAGAAACATATCCAAAGCTGAAACATTCCTTTATCATGTTTCTATAACTTCATCAATGCAAGAAAAACTAATACATTCAAACCGTGTGGTGAAGGGCAGTGAAGTGGCGAATGGTAGAGTCCATGCATTTAGGGCATTCACTGCTCCTCCCTCACCTCATGCTACTATGTGACATTTGCTCAAGGATAAACATTTAATCATGAATGCTTATTAAATATTTAAGCCATCTTAGTCCTTTTTATAATGGGCTAATACACTTAGAGCCCGTATTGCCATACGTGCCTTTACATTTTTGCAGCTCCAGACAGATTTGTTTTTGTTTTTTCGGTCCAATATGGCTCTTTGAGCAGTTTGGGTTGCGGACCCCTGGTATATAATATGTATACCTGTTACCAGCAAGCACAGCTTAAAATTTAATTCTTGTACTTGTTGTCTTCTACTTATCTGCTTATCACGGAGTTTAAGCAGACATGCCCAGACTTCCCTCTTCCCACACACCTTCTTCAACTTCGCTGGGAGAAACCTAAAACGTTCCCAGGCCAGACTAGAAAGATAGTTCCTTCAAGGCCATCTCCTGGGTCTCGTCCTGGTGGGATGTGACAAGGTGCACCTGATAAAGATGTCTTAGCTATGTAAGCTGATGCCTCTGAGGTGGAGATGTAACTCTACTAAGAGCCTCTCCCTGATGGCCGAGCTCCTCACTCTATCTCCGAGGGAGAACTAATTTCATCCACTCTATCTGCGATCTTTTCCTCTTGGCCATCATCCAGATTTCCTGAACATAGGTGAGGATATGAAGGTAGACCAAATGGTAGAGTGAAAGCTTTGCCTTTTGGCTCAACTTTCTCTTGTCATAAGAATGGTATAGTATCCACATTATAGTGGAAGCTGCACTGATCCGTCTGTCGATGTCTTACCCCATTCTCCCCTCACTCATGAATAGGACCCAAAGACAATTTAACTTTTCCTTTTAAGGCAGGAATTCTCCTCCGACCTGAAGGAGGAAAGCAACCTTTCTCAAGAACCATAGCCTCGGACTTGGAGGAGCTGATCCTCATTCTAGCTAATTTGCACTCAGATGTCATCCTCCACAGTGCCTGTTGTAGGTCTGCAGGAGGGAGCCAGCAGAACCATATCATGCGCAAAAAGAAGGGACACAATCTACTGGTCCCAAAACCAGGTTCACCTCTGGTCCCTGGCTGCACCCTGTCTATAAAGTTTATTAACAGGTCTAGTGACAAGGGGAAGTCTTGCCAGAGTCCAACATGCAACAGGTCTGACTCAATGCTGGCAATTCAGATCAATCTCCTGCTCTGCATGTACAGTGACCAGAGGCGAAAAAATGTGATCTCCCAATGGTTGATACACACCCCATTTTATGGTGGGAAATCATCACCCCAGTCAGGCAGTTGAGAAGCACTGTCCACCAATGCCATGGGATGATGAACAGGCATGTCAACCCCAACAGCCCAACAACCTCCAGAGATCTAAGGTACTCAGGGCGAACCTCATCCACCTCAGAGCCTTGCCACCATGGAGTTTTTGTCTATGACTTAAGCCAGGGTAATGCACAAGTCAGACCCCAAGCACCTAGTCCCTGTTTCTGCTTTGGAAGGCGTGTCAGCTGTGTTCTTTCACCATCCAAAAATCTCCTCAGTCAAGGTCAGTAGCTCACCACACCCACTAAAAATGGTGTTAACAAAGCATTTCTTTCCCTTGTGGAGGCACAGTATGGTTTACCAGAATAGCTTTGAGGCAGACATATATATATATATTTTTTGGTCTCCCCAAATTTTTAACAGACAGAACTTTTTGCCTCTGAAACCGTCCAAGGCATGGCCTCACAGTACCTGGTTGCTGCATTAGGAGTCCCAAAAGCCAACCAGGCTTGATAATACTACTTCAGGTTGATGACCTCCCTTACTGGCGGTGTCTGCCACCAAGTTTGGGGGTTGCAGCCATGACAGGCACAGCCACAGATATGGCTGCATTTACAGTAGAGGGAGAGGACATGGTCCACTCAGACTCCATGCTCGTAGCCTTCCACTGGAATGTGAGAGAAGCTCTCCTGGAGGTAAGAGTTAAATATGTTGCTGACAGATGGCTCCACCAGACTTTCCAAGCAGACCGTCAGTACTCATTTGGGCCTTCTTAGTCTGTTGTGCTTTCTTCTCTTCCAGCATTTCCCCACCACCAGGTGGTGATCAGTACATAGCTCTGTCCCTTTCTATACTAGAGTGTCCAAAATGTGCAGCCATTGGTCAGTACATAGGACTACAAAGTCAATCATTGAGTTCTGGCCAAGGTTGTCCTGGGCCAAGTGCACCGATGGACATCCTTATGCTTGAATATGGTGTTCATGATGAGCAATTCCTAACTTGCACATAAGTCCAATAATGAAACACCTCTCAAGTTCAGGGCTGGAGGTCAGTTTCTACTGATGACCCCATTCAGGTGTTACCATCGTTTCACACATGGACATTAAAGTTCAAAAATTATGGAATCATAGAGAGGGGCACTATCCACCATGCCCCCTGGGTGGTGCACCAATTCTCATTTTTTTTCCCCCTCAGGTTCTGATCCCATCAGGGACTCCCCAACGAAGAACCTATCCACAGGGTGCTTGCCAACGAACCCAAACCTCAGGCCTTGCTCCAAGGTAAGGCCATACCAAACTAATGGCATAACAAAATTTAATATAGTAAAAAAAATTATTTTAGAAAGTAAGACTTAGCTAAATTACATATTAATTAGACATAGAAATCATTTAAGCCTCTTTTTCTTAAAATTTTAAAAATTATTATTTTCATTTGAAAATGTACAAAACCTCTTCCATTGTTGTGCTTGTATGTTACCGCGATGAATTGGCAGGTTTTTTTGCAAAGAACACAAAAAGGATAGAGAAAGTCAATTCTTGCCTATTTATTATGGTTGCTCTCTTGCTTTATCCTTGATATTTGTGTTTGGCTAAGTGTTCAGTTTTATCCTCCTTATCAAACCAACCTACCTATTCGTAGTACAATTTTTTACTAAAATACTGAGGAGTCAGACACAACTGCTCTGTTGTGTCAACTGGGAGGTATTTGGTAATGTGAGTGGCACTTAAACTTAATCAATATAAATAGAACACTGTGTACCATAAGATTCAAAGCCTGGTATCACTCAATGTACCTTTAGAAAAAAATACATTTTTAAAACGTAAATGTAGGAATAAGAACTAAGGTTAGTTACAAAGTAGCCAAACATTTGCTAAAGTTTGATGGGGCAGTCTAGCAGGAGGACACACCAGTAAGCCAGTAAGCATAGTAGCGTTATTGCTTTCTGCTAATAAACAAGGATTGATGGGAACGACAGCTAGAATACTGCAGGGATTATATTCAGCAGTTGTTCAGAGGACATTGATGATGCTATGTCAGTGCATATGGGAGAGTACATGACATAAAACAGGGAGGAATGATTGACTGAGCAGCTGACTAAGCAATCAGTACTTGGTGAAATAGACTCATTTGTTGTGTCATTTTTGCGAATTTGGCTAAGTATATTTTATTAAATGTGTGCTTTAAATGTACTTAGCAAAAACGTCTTTAACTGCTGGGTGTTTAATAGTAGTGAACTGAAAAACCAAATTAAGCCATTTTCTAAAAAAAACAATACTTCATGTGAGCCTAGCTAAACTTCAAATGAAAATATTAATGCTATAGCAAAATATTTATATATATATATATATATATATATATATATATATATATATATATATATATATATATATATATATATATATATGTATTTATTTATTTTATTTTTTTTTTACAGCACTAGTGACTTGTTTTTTCAACAGTAGACTGACAGGAAGGGGGGTATGAGAGACGGGGAGAGACATGCAGCAAAGGACCACGGGTCGGATTTAAATCCGTCTCTGCTGTGTTGAAGACTAAGGCCTTGGTATGTGGATCATGCATATTAACCAATGGGCCACTGAAGAAGAATCCATGATAATTTGAAAGACCAAATATGTTCTTAAATGAGTAAGTCCAAGGGGAGCTTAAGAAGTATACCTATTTAAACTCAGAAGCAATCATGATAACTTATTGGGGTTACAAATACTGTACAAAACACTACCAAAGTATTGTTTTTTTTTTTTTGGTCTGTTTTTTTTTTTTTTATGAGAATGTTGAAGGTCATACAGAAATGCAAACTTTGGTATCTAATATGGCTGCATGCACTTAATAAGTTGTGGGAAGTTGAGACAGATAAGTACATGCATGTAATTTTAAGATATTGCAAATCACAGTTTTCTGACTTTAATTCCAAAATGTTAAACTAAATTCTGTAGTCATTCCTTTCTTTGAGTCCTAATTAACAGGTCATTTAAAAGCACTACTTGAGAGTTTTCTATGCCAGCTGGTAGAAAAGTCGGACATGTTTTTTTTTTATTTCCCAATGTTTAAAACACATGACAGCAGAAAAATGACAGGCTTGTGTGATCATGTCAGGTCTTAATCTTTTGTCTTAATATAAGGTTTTTAACCAAGGATCCAATATTTTTTTCAAAAAAGGCTCCTCCCTTCTTTATCTCCTGAATGGAGAGATACATTTAAACAGTCCAGATCAGAGACCTCGCTTTAAACAAACATTTCCATGCATACAAGACCATTCCAGTTTATTTACATTGTGATTATTATTTAGAGAATGTTTTGGATTATTCCGTTGGTATATGTTATAAAAAAAAAAAAAAGGGTTTGTAAGAAATTTAAGTGGCTTGATATTTATAAAAATATAGCAAATGTTTTTACTTTGATCATTTACTCCTCTGCATTGTTAACTCTAAATAGCACAACTGGCACTTTAATATGGTTTCCCACTATATATGTATATATATAAATATTTATCTGTGCTGTATGTAACTATAATTATGCTTTGCATCACCTGGACAAGAGTTTGCCATAACACATATCTCAGATCATACAAAGAGAGATAAAATAAAAAGCATCTGACGGCTCGTGAATCCATTCCTCGCTTTGCCTTACAGGCCAAGTGTTGGAGGTGTTTACTGTGATTGGCACTCAGCCCAAGCTCATGTCAAGGGTACCCCGTCCTTCTTAAGTTCCTGCGTGCCTGAGCAGGTGACTGACTAAGGCTCTGATTGCCTCACGGCAGAAACACTGAACAGAACATACCAGACATGTTGCAGTTTCAGAGGAGGTTAGTAGGAGCCCCGCAGGAATTTCTGAATGTAAAGCAGAGCATGGGGACTGGGGATGATGGGCCTGCGTGTGTTTCTAATTTCAACCAATTCATATCTCATCAGGGGGTATTATGCAAGAGGTGATGACAGATCGATTACCACGAATTCAGCTTTGCTCTCTTAATAAAAAATTCAACTAAATGTAAAGTTGTTTTTGTATAAAATAAAAATGCTGTGATACACAATAAGAAAAACTAAAGGAAGATAATTAATGTAAAAAAATGAATGATCATTAAATCATTATTTCACTGGTAGTTTAAATATCCAAAATAATAAATAAAAAACACCTGTCATGTCAAGTCACTTTACATAGACAATTAAATCAAATCCTATAGGCAGATGGGTGAAACATTTTCTATCTAAGGAAACTCAGCTGATTGCATTCACTCATTTACTTTCCAAGATTTTCTTCTCCTGGATGAAGGTGCAACAAATATTGTCTATAGTTGCTGCCTGGACTGCAGCATTTTCTCACAGCAAGCAATAATTCAACCTAATGAAAGCATATTTTTACTGAAAGAGTAAAACTGTAAAACTGATTAAATATATTTGTAAATAAATAAGAATTGAATTCTAAGACGTTTGCCCATGACTGTATTTAGAATTGTATTAAAAGCATTTTAGTACAGACTCTTGTTTACTAGAGACTTTTAGTGGACTGGTTTGTTCTCTAGCTATTGTTCTAATGCGTCTGCATTGGCTTGGCTTTGTCAAGAATATTTAAATGGTTCAAGTCTGAGTAAAGGAACGAGTCATTGTGAAAGTCTATGTTGTTGTATGAAGATCTGAACCTTTTGTGATTTTATTAAGTCAAGTTTCAAGTAACTCAGTTTTTAACTCGAGTCTGACTAAATTCCAAGTCTGTGCCTCAATTCCACACGTTTGCTGCTAGCTTTATTTTTTGCGTAACCAATTAATATTAAGTTGTGCTCCATTAAGAAATATCCAAGACTATAAACTTAAGATCCCTGACACTACATGTAGTGCAGATCTCCTGAGATGTAACAACAGCTTTTATCTTTCTTTATTCTGCTTAAACCTTCCCAACATGCGTTATCCAGACAAAGGATTAAGCTTCCCCTGGAAGACAATATACAGAGCAAATTATAGATCACAGAAAAAAAAAAACATCCTAGGTATATAAATAATTAATAAAGACCATTGCAGTTTGCATTTTCAGCCTTCAAATAGAAAGGTAATTTCTTATGGGATCAAACTGCTCAAATAAATTCAGAAGAAGGTTCTCAATTTCTGCACCTGCAGGGATTTTTTTATTAAAAAAAAAAAAAAACATGGCACAAAGAGTATTAATCCAATTCTGCCAAAGTTTGTTCCTGCCAAAGTTTTGTGATTTTGAAGAATCAAAATAGATGAAGAGTTAATTTCTTGTAAAATACACAGAAGCACGCAGGAGTTCCTTTTAAATCTATTCAAAGAAAGAAAGACGGCCCTTTTTTGGAACTGCTCCTTTTCTGTGATGTCCTCAGTCATGATTGAGAGGTATAAGCTTACCACACCAGGACACTAATACATCAACGTCACGCGAAGCATCCAAACTGTACCATACCCTCAGCTGCTCTGGATCTTTCATTCTTTGCCCTCCCTGTTAACAGCAAGAAGCAGAGCCAGAGGATCAAGCTGGTGACATAAAAGAAGATCCTGAGTGATAGTAAAATGGAACGCACCCAAGTACACAAACAGGGTTTAGGAAAATAAGAGCTGAAATTATCCTACACTGTACTGAGTGATTACTTTGACACCTAGATTTCAGCTTTCTTTCTTCATGAAATAGTCTTTAACAAGCGTATGGTATTGTAAGAATATGCAAAGGAAATATTTTAGAGAATATTACTGGATACTTAGAAAATACTTTGTTCTACGTTACATTCTGCTCAAGAAAAGCTGCATGTACAGCTAGAATTGGAAAAGGTTTTATTGTAGACATTAAACCGCATAAAAATACTTTCAGACACAGACTGAGTGCTTGGAACCTTTTATGCAATGGAATTAGTCATAATAAATAAGTTTTTATACAATTTTTCAAAGCGCTGAAAGCTTTTCAAACCAAACGGTTTATCTTACTATAACAACATAAAAAAACAGATCTTCAATACATTTCATATGACCCAATACTGCTTCAGTCTAGTATTGAAAATACTGATTATCCTTTTTTAAGCAAGAATCTGTCTGTGTTTGCTAAAATGGTGAAGTAATAAAAACTTCTCTGTCTCCCTCTACTGGACTTGAATAATAAGTAAAAAAGGGAATCCTTTGTTCTATCCATCATCTGCTTATCCATGTGGGGTCTGCAGTGGCCTAGTGCCCATTTCCAACGGTCAACAGACAGAAAGAGGGACAGATTATGAACATGTCACAGTCCATTACAGAACAACACAGAAACACAAAGGAGAGCTGACAATGCACATACTAACTGATATGTAAGGTCAATATAGACTAACAAAATTGATCAAACAGCTATTTTGTTTTGGATTGAGACTAAGTCAGAATACCTCCACATGCATAGTGAAGGAAAAACACACTCCATACAGAAAGATTCAAAACCAGAAGTGAAACCTAGGACCCTAGTGAAGAAAAATCTTTCATTTTATAATATTTTTAATATAAGCATATAGTATGCCATGCCAAACTGCATTTACTCAAAACAAAAAAACAGAAAGTGGAACATTTTTTATTTTTTTTCCAGAAAGCAATACATTTCATTGATCAAGAGAGAAAAACCTCATGTGCATAGTCAATTAGCTATACACTGTTGGAAGATAAGACTAGCTCCTTGAATCTGGCTGTCTAAGTTATGGCATGAAACAATCTGTGCCAAAGATTCTTCAAGAAGTGATAGTTTGTATCTAAGTAAGAAGCAGCGTTCCTCCACCAGAACAGCAATGAACCAGACAACCACCCACTCCAGCCATCAGGCTGAGGAGTTGCCATGCAGCTCATTGGTCTGTTAAACTAATCCACTGGTCGAGTTAATCACGGTAAGGGTTGAGTCTGGTTAGATATAATCATTCGATGACTAAAGACTATTTGTTTATTTCCTATTTGATTATCTTTTGTTTAGCATTTAATCAAAATGTTTATTTGAACTGACTTATTTGAAGCACTCCGCTGGTAATCATAGTGTTTCACAATAAAGGGTCGAATCAAGGCAAATAAATTGAATAAATTACATTAACAAATGAAGTATTCCTCACTCATTATATTTTGCTTTCTTTAGTTGTGCTTCAAATTGAACTGTTCATCTGAAGCCGAATACATGCAAAGGTCGTTTGGGGCAGATGTTAAAGCCCCTCCAGAAAATGGCAACCAGTATCTAGAGGATTGGTATAACATTGAAAAAACACAGTAGGCTATATTTACCACATTAACATAAAAATGACCAAAAACTCAGTTTAAAGATTCTTTAGTGCATCTAGAACCCTTCTACTGAATATAACTGCTTGGATAGAAGGCAAAGCTCTCGGTATACAGAAATATACCATTACAGAAATATACCATTACAGAAATATACCATTACCAATACTAATACACCTCAACAGACCAACCTGTAACTCAAATTAAGATCTAGCTTCCATTTTACCATTAGGTAACAATGGCCTTATTATCCAAATAAAGTCAAACCAATGGCTGAATAAGAATGTTTAAAAAAACAATTATATAAACAATTACATTTTATATATAAAACAACAGAATAATTGAAACCTGTGCTAATTTTTGTCACAGTCTTGGTTCTGTTAAGTTTTCTGTGAGTTTTCAGTTTCACGTTGATCCATATTTTTCTTTGTTTTCTAGCGTTATTGGTGTTTTCTGGATATTTTTAAGTTCTTAGGTTTTTATTTGTTGCCCTCTCGTGTTTGTCTCCTTTTTCCTAGCTCCTTCTAGAAGCCTCTCTTCACACCTGCTCCCAATCAGCTCATTAGTTCTGTCTTTGTTCAGTCTCTCATAAATACTCTCCCTGTGCAGTTCCTCCATACTGGTTCCTTGTCTTTCCCTGGCTACTTATGCATGTTTTCGCTGATGTTTCCCTGGTTCTGGTTTGTTTTGCATTTTTATGTTGGATTTTTGGATTCCTGCCTCTGTTGCCTGTAAGAAATCTATTAAAGCTACAAGAACTCACCTCTTTTCCTGGTCTCTGCATTTGGGTCCTCAAAACCTCTACCAAACCCTGACAATTTTAAGGTTTGCTCCCTAAACGTAAAATAAGTGCAAAAGAGGAAAAAAGCAGCACTTCTTTAAAAATGGCAAAGCTTACACATGTTGTTCAAAGCTTTAAAATAATGTCAAAACATGTCATAAATTACCCCAAACAAAATCCTTCTTAAACAGGTCCAAGTGGCCTCCTGTCTCATTGACTGAAGCACAGGATAAATATTTAGAACTAATAGAATTACTAACTTCAAAAAGTAATTGATCTTTGTGTTGTCCAAGGGCCTGTTTCAGAAAGGAGGTTAAGGGAAAACTCTGAGTTTGTTAACCCTGAAATGAGGGAAACTCTGGGTTTTCTGTTTCAGAAAGGGAGGTAAGTTAAACCTGAGAAAGCAGAGTAAGTCAAGCCCGTTTCTGAAAGAGAGGTAACTTAAACTCAAAGTCAGTTACCATGGCAATTTACTCTGTGAACCTAACATAGTCGGGAGCAGGTTTTCTTCAGAAAATCCAGAGTTTATTTTGGTCTCCTCCCCTTTTTTAAAGAGGAAGTGGTGTTTAAACACCTCATTGATTCTTTGGGGACATACAGTATTCATTGCACACATTTCAGTCACGTAGAGCGCATCAAAGGGAATGAAATGGCATGTCCTTTTATGGATGATCCTGTTTGTAAAGCCAGGTAGCTACTCTACTCCCATGATGTGCTCAAGGCTTACCTGCTTGAAGTATGTTTTTATATTTCATTTTCAGCTGCTGCCATGTTTTTTTTATGCCTGCAGGATTGCACCTATCCATGAAAACTAAATTAGGTTTAATAAAATACTGTTCTTCCAGTTTCACCTCTGATATTATAACAGTTGGGTAAGTTACTCTAAAATAGTTCTTAATTACTAACTACAAATTTTATCTTCAACAAGTCTAATTAGATTAATGTAATAATTACTGTCTCTAGAAAGTATTGGTCTACTTACTAATTTGTTGTACTTACTTATTAATTACTTTCTAAATCCCAAATCAACCTCAACCACTTGAACAATACAAGGAGAGACAAGAAACTGCACTTCTAATGCTTTCAAATAAACAATATTCAATTGCATGAATTAATCTTAAATTGACCAAAGTGTGTAACTAGAGGGAGAAAGTTCAAATCAAAATATACCTTTTAAAATTTTATATTAAACCCACTATTGTTTTATAGTCTTTAATTTAATTACAGTATTTATATGACTTAAGTAACTTAATTCATTACACCCAACACTGTATAAAAGTAATTAAAATGTAAACTTACGCATTGACTCGAGCAGCTATTTTCACCCAAGCTAACTCTCTCTCCTTCGCCGCTGCAGCCGTGTTGCTTTTTTTTTTAAATACATGTTCAAATTCCGCATATGCTTGCATAAG